TGCGTAAGCGTAATACTTTACATTGTCAGTAACGATATGTTTGCGCGAGGCGCAAGATCGATTTCCTGACATTTTCGCGTACTTCGTTCGTGTTCCTCTATTGACAGTGCGGATTATTGTGACACGTTACAGTCAAAAACACTTCTTGTTTGACATCAGGTTTTATCTGTCAAATGTTTTCCTGGTTTCTTTTGAGAAGCGAAAAGCGTAGCGAAAATAGAAAAGAAGAAAATCATGCTATACGTCGAAACGCTCCAAAGAAATCGATTCAGATATTGCTACATCAGACTAGTATCGAGTAAGTGCCATTTTGAGATTTCTTAATTATATTATTTGAAAAAATTAAAAATATGTATATAAATATATTTAAGATTATTAAAATTAAATAAATTAAATCTTGTTCACCATATTGCAAATTTAATTACTGTCCGCTAGAAAACAAATAAATTAAATCTTGTTCACCATATTGCAAATTTAATTACTGTCCGCTAGAAAACACATAATTTGTAAAATATTTAAACTAGTATCTAGTATTTAGGTTCCTACATTATTATATGTTAGGCATGTAACTTGATTTTGTGGAGTCAAGTAAGGTTAATTAGATTTCTCCGTAACAATACAACTCGTATTTAGTAGTTCTATGAATATGATTAATATTCATTTTTCTTTGAAATTTTTCTGAGTATGAAGCATGTCTTTTATTACTTCAGTACTAAATAAAAAATAAATTAAACTTTTTTAATACTTAAATTAGATTTCTTTTAATTATTGATATTGTTAGGATAATTATATTATTATTATTTTGTTATTGTATTTCTCTTATCACATATAATAAATTTAGAACAATATTTATTTATATGTTATGTGTAATAACTTTATTTTGACAATTTTGATATTTTGATGAAAAATTTTGAAATATTTTTAACAAATGGCATTTTAGTAGTAATATTTTAATCAGTTGTTCAAAATTAATAAATAATTTTATTTTGTTATAATCGATAATCTATTTCTAATATATTAATATTAATAAATTAATTAATTAATATTAATAAAAAAAATTAATTAATTAATTAATTAATATTAATAAATTTATTGAAAAATTATTATAATTTTATTATAAATAATACGATTTTATTATAAATAATAGCTGTAATAAAAATATATCTCAGTGGTATAAATATTTATTGCGCAAACATTTTATGTTTAAAGTATAAAATATATATTGTATTTAAAATATACAATAAAATATTCTATTTAAAGAATATATGTGTAGTAAATAATTATGTTAGATATATCCTAATCTAATAATGATACGCATATTCTCAGATAATATTCAAATGACTATTAATGATTAGTAATGATTAATAATTAATGATTAATAATTGAAATAATTAATCTAAAACTAAAATGATCAATAAAAGAATATTTAGATTATTATTTTGTTACACTTTATTTTAAAATCTGTATTTTTATACTCAATGACGTTTAATCGATATGATATAAATACTACGCTATAAATACTATGTTAACAGGAAACCACACAATATCAGTTTTGGGAATTCCTCCTATCTTCTGCATATTTTACGGGAATTCACAGCGATTTAGTTTTAATACATGAATTATACAGATGTACACATAATATAACTTTGAAAGTACTCGGAAAAGTATATATACATTATTATTTTTAACTAAATAATATAATAGTGTTATTAATTGTTCAATACAATATAATTGTAATATTGTAATCATAATTAAACACTTTATTCTCTTTTAATAAGATCAGTAAATATTTTTATTAAATTCGGTAATATATATTATATTAACATGTTTTACATATGTACACACACACACACA